TCTATTATTGAATAAGAATACACATCGCCAGATTTGTCAGCAACCAAAATCTTGTCTTCTGCAGATGTTATTATCAGGGAGGTACATCTTCTCATGACAGGTCTGAAAAGAAATATAATTATAATAAAAATACAATTCAACATTTCTGAACTTCAAAAACTAACGTGGTCTACAGGTGACAAACAAAAACATAACAGTTCTGTAACACCCATTCTCTCCTAGAATTCTAAAGATGGTTGGGAAAGATACCCAGAAGACTTCAGCTTGGAAGCAGCTGTATTAGGTTCACAGCAAAAAAAAAAGAACCTCCATTACCAGTATGTGAGGCTCGCACATGGTTTGGGAGATTTGCCAATGTCATGGAAAGTAATTGTGAAGCCGATGGCTTATCCAAAGGAGTTTGCAGTTGAGGTGGACAACAAAAATATAAAACACAACAATAAAGCTAAGAAACAAATCTGAGCAGAATGGTAAATTTAGTATAACAAGGAAAAGAAAGCTTGTGTGTATACCCTTGAGGCAGTCTTAGACTTCTGGCAACTGCCTGGGCTAGTCCCTGCAGTTTTCTTGGAAATGATTTGCCCTTGCCTGCTTTCAAGCTGAGAGAATGTGAGGGCCCCAAGGTCACCCAGTGGACTTCATGCTAAGAAATGGATGGTCTCTGGGTTTATAGTCTAGTGCAGTGTTTCTCAACCTTGACAATTTTAAGGCATGTAGACTTCAACTCCCAGAATTCCACAGCCAGCATTGCTGGCTGTGGAATTCTGGGAGTTGAAGTCCACATGCCTTAAAATTGTCAAGGTTGAGAAACACTGGTCTAGTGCCTTAACTGCTATACCAAACTGATTCTCTACTGAAAGCCTGCATAATAATTTCTGTTACTAATGCTTAGATTAAAAAATAAATAAAAAAAAACATTTTCCTCCCCGTACCTTATGCTCAGACATTCCCAGGAAGGCTTTCTGCAGAAAAGAATTAATTGTTTGTTGTCATCAGTCAGAACAAAATACTTCCCTGATGAAGAAAATGCACAGGCAAGGATATTATTTGTTTTGCCTAATGGCTTTCCATCCTCACTAAAAAGAGGGGAAAAAATGTGAAACATTTGATTAAAAAATAAACCGTTTCAAGCACAACTTCCAATTATACTTTATGAGATATTTTCAATTATTTTTCAGAACAACCTTCCTTTGATCATGTCATAAATTAAGGAAGAAGGGAAGTATGAAAAGCTATTTCCTACTATTTATTTCAATTATTTGATTTTAATTTGTGTTTTAATTGACATCATGGTAGAAAAAGCACTGCAGAGGTTCTTTCCTCTTATAGGCAATGCTTATCTAAGAGAGGTAAATGCCATATTTTCCAGAAGTATCTCTAGAGATGCTTAATTATAGATTCAATTATCCCCAGTTAGCATGGTTGTTTGTCCTTGATATGAGATTGCAGTAGAAGTAATGTTCTATATACCTGGGAAATTAAATACTCACCTTTCTTGCTTTACTTGAAGTTTTTTGCTTGCAGTAGTACAGTCATAAATGAAAAGATCATCATTGCTGTCAATTAAATGAATATACATCACATAAATATTTTCTATGGAAGCAATCTCTTTGTGTTGAACTCTTAAAAAAAAAAACAGAGCAATGCTCCAGATACCTGTAGTTTACCAACCTACAGCTCTGGGTTTTTTCCCCCCAGACCTAAATCTAATCTCACTTGTTGGCATTCTCTGCCCCTATTCCAATTTTTCTGAACCTTTCTTAAAACATGATGCCCAGAACAAAAACAGTACTTGAGATAGAACAAGATCAATGCAAATATAGTGGGGCAATATATCTACTGATACAGAGTAAAACTGAATTTACCTTTTCAACAACCTTACATTCAACGAGGTCAGCTATAAGTCAAAATACTTCTTCAGAATGTGATTATCAAGCCAAATATACCCCCTTATTGTTTTTGTGCATTTGATTTTTTTCCTGTTTCTACTTTGTTATTTTAACTTAATTTTTCAGCTTGTATGCTGCCTCAAGTACTTTTTCATCCCACTTCTCAAAACTACCAATTGATTTGTGTTTCTGTCTTCTACAGTATGCTATCTCATACAGTTTTGTTTCATCTAGAATTTGTAATTTCCGTCATCTCTCAATCTGCCAAGCCCTTAACATTTGTCAGCTAATTAACAATACCCAATAGCCTATATTAACTTCCAAATCAGATTACTATCAGGTAGTTTGTCAAATTCTATGCTGAAATCAAGATACATTATATCCACAGGATTCCTACAGCCCATTAAGAAAGATACATGTTATAAGTATCTTCCCCGAAATCTCTATGTAGAAATCTAACAATAAATTAAAATGTCCACAAGTTCTCAGTATTTCCATTTGGTCTCTTAAATGATCTCCACTGATTAGATATTGGTTAGATTCTATTCAAATATAGGCAATCTTTTGTGCCTTCCTCTATCCTGTGAATAAGAAAGTCTTAAAAAGAAGAATTTAAGAGGTGGTCAGAAGTTTCCTAGGTAAATCATGCTTGGTAGAGTTTGTCCCCATACAGATACTTGGAATAAAGTCTTCCATTACACTCAATTCATATCTTTATGAAAAATTTGCTTTTGGAGGATTATTTTTTTTTAATTGAAAATTTTATAAAATTTTTACAATATAAATCCCCCCCTTCCCCTTCCCACCCTTCCACCCCCCTCCCTCCCCCCTCACTTCCCAGTGCCAATCACAGGGTTAACAATAACATAATCATACTCTAATTAACATTAATCAACTATTAAAATAACATATCTATAACCTCCTTTAACTCTCTTTTAAACAGATATACAATTATTAAAAACAATAATAACAACACTTTAATAATTAAAAATAATACTAAATAAAATATTCTAGCCTTTGTACAACAATAATACTCTAAAATTCATTCAAAAACCAAATGATATTTTTTAGTCCCATATTTACGCTCAATATAATCTATCCATCTTCTCCAAACCAAAATATATCTTTCTTGCGAGTGATCCTTCACATAAGCGGAAATCTTGGCCATTTCTGCTAAATTCGAGACTTTAAGTGACCATTCTTCTATAGTAGGTAAACGTTCCATTTTCCAATATTGAGCTACTAGTAATCTTGCAGCAGTTATAAAGTTCAACATCAATTCGCTTTTGGAGGATTATTGAATCACTGTGAAAGATAACTAGTGCTACTATTGGAAAGAGGCAATATTCTTTTTTTAGAAACTTCCAAATGTGGGTTTTGTTTTTGTTTTGGTGCCTTTTAGTTACTGATGATTCCTGGCAACAAGTCCCTTAAGTTTTCCTTACAAGGGTTTTTTGGCCATTATTTACCACAGCCTCCTTCCTAAGGTTGAGAGAGCTCTGTGCACTAAAACCAGCAGTCTCTAGCCTGGTGCCTTAACCGCTACACCAAACCGGCGCTTTCTCCCTATTAGTAGTGTCATAATTCGCAATTAATAAAAAGATATAATCAGAAGCTTCACTATCTTTGTCTCCATGTTACTTTTCTTCTGCCTCTTTGCTAGACTTCCACGGTCAAGTCGGTGCATATACAATATCTAAACTAGCCCCCACCAATTTAATAATAATAATAATAATAATAATAATAATAATAATAATAATAATAATAATAATAATAGTAGTAGTAGTAGTAGTAGTAGTAGTAGTAGTAGTAGTAGTAGTAGTAATAGTAGTAGTAGTAAAGTTGGAAGGGACCTTGAAGGTCATCTAGTCCAACCCCCTGCTCAGGCAGGAAACCCTATACCAGGGGTAGGCAACCTTGGCTCTTTTATGACTCGTGGACTTCAATTCCCAGAATTCCTGAGCCAGCCATGCTGGCTCAGGAATTCTGGGAGTTGAAGTCCACGAGTCATAAAAGAGCCAAGGTTGCCTACCCCTGCCCTATACCATTTCGGACAAATGGCTGTCCATTTGATTTCTTCAAAACATATTGGATTACCATTCCCATCATGCCAATCAGTATGCATCCCGTTAACAATAATGGAGTAATAATCTACAAGCCAGAAAGCTGGTGAACGTTTATTTAAACGCCAACTTTTCACTCACACCTACACACCGACCTCTTTCACTCACTTGGTCTCTTTATAACCAGCGGCCAAAAACTTCGCGCCGCCGCTAACCACCATCAGATCCTCGCAAATGAGGAGCCTCGGAGAAGGACTCACGATTCCAGCCACATCAGCCGCCTCCATCGCCAGGCCCAGACCCACGTTGGGGCGCCCGAGAACCGTCACCAGCTCATGATGTCATTCCCCGGCCGATTAATGATGATCTCAGAAAAGCCCGACTTGCCATAGAGAGGAGCATGTAGTTTCAGGGGTAGTCAACCTTGGCTCTTTTATGACTCGTGGACTTCAACTCCCAGAATTCCTGAGCCAGCTGTGCTGGCTCAGGAATTCTGGGAGTTGAAGTCCACGAGTCATAAAAGAGCCAAGGTTGACTACCCGTGATTGTAGTTGTTTGGAAGCTGAATTGCTAACGTGATTAGAATTACGCCTTGTCCCTTTGTGGGAATACAACTGTCAGAAGATGAAAAGCCCTAGCGATATTTATGCCATAGGTTTCCGTAATGAACGTGGTAATGAACGCCCTGGGGGAGGCGCCAGTCATAGGGAGGAAAGCTTTATTGCCTTCCTAAAGGGGAATATTTGCAGCTCAGGGTTGAAATGAGGGGTCCTTGGTGCTGACGAAGTTACTTAGTTTGGGTAATGAAACGTTTGCAAGAAAACAAGCGAGCTCAGAGAGCATCAAGAACACCCGGGGGAGAGGGGGGACGACGACGACATATTGCACTCAAGACAATGATCCTTTCAAGGACGTCCTTTCAACATTTTTGGCTGAAGCTCTGCCCACGTCCGTCTGCCTGGGCTTAGAATACACAGAACGGAAGGACGTCCCTCCACTCCTCATCTCTCAAATTCAAGGGAGCTCGCCATTCCACCTCCCGCCACCACTAAGCAACACAAACGCCTCCCACCCACATGATTGGCATACAGTACTTCCATCGGGACGGCGGTTGCGGAAGGAAAAATGGGGTGGGAACCTTTTCTTTGCGGCCAAAGGAGGACACGGAACAAGTTTTGGGTGACGCCAAGATGGCGGCCTCCGCGATGGCTTGCTGCGGTCGTCTCCCGGCGTTTAAGGTAATGGAGGATGAGGTTCATTAAGGCGTTGCTTATGGGTTTAGTTTTCCTGTTGGGTGTCTGCCTGTAGCCAGGGTTATAAGCAATTGCTCCGCTGTATATCTGTGCCAATAATTAGGGTTTTTTTTATCTGTCCGGATTTGTCCTGAAGTTTCCAGCTGGTATAATTTGATTCAGGACATTTACTAATTTCATTCGGGGCATCTACTATTATCTAGAGCAGTGTTCCTCAACCTTGACAATTTTAAGGCATGTGGACTTCAACTCCCAGAATTCCACAGCCAGCAATGCTGGCTGTGGAATTCTGGGTGTTGAAGTCCACATGCCTTAAAATTGTCAAGGTTGAGAAACACTGGCCTAGAGGTAGACTATATCCGAGGATCATTTTCCAGTCTGCAATGCGAAGAATAAACTGTTAACGAGTAAAAACATAATCAAGAAGGTTTACGATTCTTATCTCATAAATTGTAGTGAATCTCAGCCCACTTCATCAAATATATGGATGATAATTTTGAGAAAAATTGAAATAAGCATACTTTTGGGGCGGGGAAGAAAAAAAGGGCAATGGTGGTAGGGAAGATAGAGACCAGAAGCAGTGTTGTAGAGAAAATGTTAAGATTTCTTTTGCAGCACCTTGAGCTCTTGACTATGGAGATTCTCAGTCATCCAGATCATAATTATCCCAAAGGTGCTTTTTCACGAGGCAACTGGACTTTCTTGAGCTCTTGAGTTCAGTTGTGGCTAGAGTGAATTTTATTTTGAAAGATGTATGAAATGAGAGATTTCAAGCACTACCAGTAATAAGTATTTCTTTGCTTGAGAGAGTAGATGAGACTGACAAAAGAAATCTTTTAATTGTTTTAATATAAGGACAAGAGTATTTGTGGTATCCACATTTTCTCTTTGACAAATATTTTATTTACTCAAGGGTGCACTAGTTGTAGTTTCCGTTGGGTATGAAGTTAGTGTCTGATGTTGCTTGGGTTCTTACAGAGTTCTGGCTGAATTGACTTGCATTTGACTCATTTCAGGATAGGATTAGGATAGGATGTAGATTATTTGACTAAGTGTGATTAGAACCCGAGGAATTTGTTTCCAATGCAGAAGCTCTCAGTGTACATGCAAAGCAACAGAGTAATAATAATCATAGTAATGATACCAATAAGAGAGGTAATAAAGAAGATAAGGATAATTGTAACACTACAGCCATACAATATGTGTGGCACAAGGGAAAAAACTGTCTCTGTGTCTAGTTGTTTTGGAATGCAATGCCCTATAAGTCCCGAGGAGAGGAATTGAAACAGTTATGTCCAGAATATGCGGGGTCTGTAGATATTTTCTCAGCCCTTTTTCTGACCTGCGCAATACACATAACTTTTATGGCAGGCAGGCTGGTTGCAGTTGTTCTTTCTGCAGTCCTAAAGGAGTCTGTACCTGCCCTGTTTGGTTGCTGAACCAAACCAGACAGTTACAGAAGTACAAATGACAGACTCAATAATTCCTGTATAGAACTGTATCAACAAGTTCCTGAGGCAGTCTGAATTTCCTGAGTTGACACAAGAAGAACATTCTTTGTTGTGACTTTTTAATGATGGTTCTAATGTTGGGTGTCCATTTCAAATCCTGGGAGATTCTGGAACCCAAAAATTTGAAAGACTTTACTTTTGATACTGTGCTGTTGAATATAGCAGGAAGTGGTAGATAGAATGGCTCCTCCTAAAATCCACTCCCACCTCTACAGTTTTGAGCATGTTCAGCTCCAGGTTATTCTGGCTGCACTCCAGGGCCAGTTGTTCAACCTCCCATCTATATGCAAACTCATTAATCTTGAATGAGACCAATGACTGTTGTATCATCTGCAAACTTCAGTACTTTAACAAGGATCCCTAGAGATGCAGTCATTGGAATAGAGACAGAAGAGCAATAGAGAGAGCACACAACCCTAAGGGGCGCCTGTGCTAATTGCCCAGGTACTAGATGTAACTTTTCCTAGCTTCACCTGTTGCTTTCTATCTGTCAAAAAGCTAATAATCCACCTTCAAGCTAGCTGAATTAGTTCAGAGTAAAAAAATTCTGGAATGATGGTATTGAATGCCGAGCTGAAGCCTACAAACAGGACCTGTGATTATGTAAAACTATGTATTATGGATAATTTAGTCTGTAGATTACCAGGTTTAACTGTAAGCCCATGAATACTCTATATCCGTGGTGGTGAACCTATGGCACGCGTGCCACAGGTGGCACGCAGAGCCCTCTCTATGGGCACGCACGCCATCGCCCCAGTCCTAGGCCTTCAGCTGGGTTTTATAAAACCTTTTCGCGTTAGGCCTCCGCCGCTGTGTGCAAAAAAAAAAAGGGTTCAATCAATTTCAACTTCTCGCGGGGAAAAAAAAGATCTTGCAAAGTTGGAATTGATTGATTGAACTTTTTAGTCCCACCCAGTCTGCTGTTACCACCACAGCCATGCCCACCCAATGGGACACACACCCAATGGGACATGCCCACCTGGCACCCGACAATACATAAGCGGGTTTTGGGTTGCAGTTTGGGCACTCGGTCTCTAAAAGGTTTGCCATCACTGCTCTATATGCTCTTACTTTATAAACATGAACCACGAGGAGTCAAGGACTGCATGTATATAGCATTGATGGCATATGTTGAAGCTTTTTCCTTGCACTCCCATTCTTTTATCTTCTGTGCTGCAGTTTTCCAGTTATTGCCAGGCATCTTAGAAATACCTGTTAATAAATTATATTTATCATACATACTACATTATTTTGTAGTCTGTATGAAACAAATGACTTTTAGAATCTTTTCTATAACCTAGCCTCCTTAGGTTCTTTCAATAATTGTAATATTGGTAGTCCTCAACTTACGGCCACAATGGAGTCCAAAATTTCCATTGCTAAGCAAGATAGTTGTTAAGTGAGTTGTGCCCCATTTTACTACCTTTTTTGCCACAGTTGTTAAGTGAATCACTGCAGTTAAATGAGTCATATGATTGTTAAGTGAATTTTCTTGTTGGACATCAGCTGGTGTCATGTGGTCAGCTGACTACATGACACCACGACAGTGCAACTGTAAAAAATACATGCCAGTTGCCAAGCACCCAAATTTTGATTATCTGACTGTGAGGATGCTGCAATAGTTGCAGGTGTAAAAACTGGCCATAAGTCACTTTTTACAGTGGCATTGTAACTATGAAAAGTCACTAAACAAAGGGTTGTAAGCCAAGGACTACCTGTAGTTCTATGCATTGCACAGCTTACTTGAAAATTTAAGCAAATTTAAGCGAATTATTCTTAAATCTATGTAAAAACAGCCAGAAAAAGTACAGGTCATTAGTTTCCTAGACTAAATTTTAGATGTGATTGCCTGGAAATCTGAAAAAAAAAATAAAATAAAACCAGATGTAATTAGATACAACATTGAAGAGACAATAAGTGGTTTAATATTTCTAAGTGTATTTTCATAATCTACTTTATTAATAATGCATCACAAATGTATATGTATAGCAGCAAGCCTTTTTTCTAACTGAAAATAAGACTTCAGAATTTTTCACAAGGAATTCTTATGGGAGCTATTTTATAATCACTATTTCATGCCCATGTTACTGATCTGTGGTTATGTTATTGTATAGTTTACTACAGGCATGTCAAATTCGCGACGCCACGTGATGTCGCACGACGTATCGGAGCTTTTTTGCCATTGTCGGCAATGGGGTGGGCACGACTCCGGTATGATGAAACCGGCCCACGGGCCAGCAGTTTGACACCGCTGGTTTACATATTTTTGAGAAATATATGCTAATTTAAAACATTGTTCATCAACTATTTTTCCTAATTCTTATAGGCTTTGTCACAGCAAGCATGGGGTCTACGAAGTATGCCTTCTGTTTATGTCTGCACCAAACCAGGTGATTCCAAAAAAGGCTTCCCAAAAGGTAAGACAATTTATAACAACTATTGCCAAGAAAAATATTTATTATTGAAGTAACATTAATTAAGCCACTACTATTTTTCATATTTTGTAGAACGTCAAGATGCAAAGCTTTTGTGTGGGTTTTGTTATAGGATGAATGTTCTTACTGAAAAGAATTACATCTAATAAAATACTGTTGCTCTGCCATCTTATAAACCATAATTCCCC